TTATATAATTTAACACATCGCACACATTCTGTATGGTCTTATTCACAACAATAGATTTTAATAGATAGAATGTAATTTTGAGGATAAAGAATATTTAATCTACTACATTTTTTTCATATTCTTACATTGTTATGCGATATTGAGCTTTGTAAAAATTTCAAGTCCAGCTCACAGGGAAATTTGTTTAAAATTAATTACTAAGTTCAACCCGAACAGACACATACGTAAGCGAGTCAATAAAAACGTGGTAAATATGGAAATATCAAGTTTTTATTATCATAAGATTATCGTTCAATTAAAATATAAATGGTAGAGCCATGCTACAGTTATATTAGTAGCATAGTTGTAGCACGAATGGGTCGACTCGACCGGGGAAGAACCACGCTCTCACAGAATACTACGGTCAAATAGTAGTCTAATGCTGCTGTGTTTCGTATGGTGAGTGTAGAGAATCGGAGACCTTTTTACTGGAAACGAGGCATTCCATCTTAGTCCTCACGGATGACAACGCATATGCATTTTGATTCGTAATCGAGGATAGATGTAGATGTCTATGGGCCACAGCAACCACTTACCATCAGGTGGACTGTGTGCTCGTTTGTCACCCTATCCTATATAAAAAAAAGATATGATTGCATCTAAAACTGTTACCACTACGTACGAAATATTTTAACATAAAATATACTTTTGCTTCTTGTTGATAAGCAAAGTGGCGGTAACCCAGATTACTCGGCAATTCAAACCGCACCGAGATCTCACATCAGCATGTTTAGAACAATCTGTTGCTATGTGAACACTTGCAAGTGCTCTAGAATTTTCTATTAATGTACAAAATAGACACGAAGATATCGTGTATCAGCTTAATCCTTGACAAGAACTTTTTTTTCGCAGTGCATCTGATGCTAAGTGGATGCTGTGCCCCATAAACATCTACATTTGTCCTCGATTATGAGTCAAAATGCATATGCATTGTCACCCCTGAGGATTAATATGGAATGCTTCGTTTTCAGTAAAAAAGTTCTTCGGTTCTCTACACTCACCCTATGAAACACAATGCACTAAGCTGTTACTTAATATTTAAGTACCTATCACAATTTTTTTAACCTTGCAATAATCAAATATTAAATAGTAATTTAGAGGTTTGTAAAATTGAAAGATTTAGAGGTCTTACGGCGACGAACATGTAGTCCCGGATGCTACTTGCACGTTTGCACGTAAATAAGCATTAAAAAAAGCATGTCAAAGATCAAAGATCATAGAAAAATAGTTGGCGCGGTGAGACGTCGGGAGAGCACTGCAAAAGCGCGTATGTGCGGGTCGTCGACCCAGGGAGCGGGTCGGGCAGCCGGCCCGGTCACGGCCTCGCTCACTTCTCACTTCCAACACTCGTTCACTAACTTGCACTTTTACTGTTGCTTACTGAAAAATCACTTGCATATTACTTTTTTTTTCAAAGAATATGAGTAACAAATGAGTACAACAGTCCACCTGATAGAATTTAATAGAATCATTCTTATTTCACTGATTCAATAAATTACATTAATGATTCAATAAATACTCTTGTAATCTTACAAGAATATTTATTGAATCATTAAAGTTTTACCATTGGTTCGGAAAAACCTCTGTCCTGGGAAGAACCAGCAAGAAACCCAGCGGGACTATTTTTTTTTCCAATAATAGCTTACAATTATGTTTACAATAAACAACACAAGACAAATTAGAAATAGCTTGGTAGCGATCACCCTTCCCAGGGGTTATTATCATCCATAAATTCCTTAATATTATAATAACCCTTTTTATACAAAGTTAGTTTAATAACATTTTTGAACTTCGTGTATGACAAATTTTGTATATTATCTGGGATTTTGTTGTAAAAGCGTATACATCGCCCCAAGAATGAATTACTGACTCGGTGGAGTCGAGTAACTGGTACTACTAGCTAAATAGTAATCTACAATATATTATTTTATGTACTAAAACTGTAAGCCGCTATTTTACGCTGGTATTCTGTGATTGCGTGGTCCTTCCCCGGTCAACATGTCTAGGAGGTGAGAGCAAGCTCGCTGAAAGGACTCTGCTTTTGCCGCCAATCAGCGAAACTTAATGATGCTTTATTAATTATTTTTTATTTATTTAGAAAACGTTACCTCCTTTATCGTGAAGGCAGTTTACAAACATAAATTGCTCAAGTACAAACATCCAAACCAGGAACAATTAATTGTAGACCATACAAATACTTGTTCCGTGCGGGATTCGAACCCGCGGTCCTTGGTGCTGCAACACATTGCTGAACCACTGCGTCATGGAGTTGGCTGTGTTGCATCTACACTTTAAGAATATAAATTGTCAGTATAATTATTATTTCGGACTGAAAAATATTCCATCTTTATCCTAAGAGATGACAAACCCATATTTATAATTTAGCACCTAAAATACAACGGTAACATACAAACAAATTTCCGACACCTAGAGGGCTAGACAGAAAATAAACGATGTTTGATGCTATCTTGACACACTTTGCTTCTTTCACACCCACATATCCTCAAATATATGCTTATCGGTTAAGGAACTCTTAATTTAGACCAATTTGGTCGATAAACTTTCATGAGGGCGTTCCCTCATTTCTCACTTCTAACTTCCTTTAGCGTAAAATGTACTTGACAGATCTTAACAATCTTTTATTTTAAAAACATTACCTCCACACTAGGAAATTCTCTTGTAGCATAGGGGCAGTTTACATACTGTGTTGCTTGCGGGATTCGAACCTGCGGTCCTTAGCGCTGCAACTCATTGCTAACCCACTGCGCCATATAGATGTAAATATTTGTTTCACTTTTTGGTGTCTCAATAATAGCTGTTCAATTGGTTACCTAACTGTGTTATTTCTCTACAGTAATTATTTTACAGAAGTATTTTAATATTCCATTACTATAACTCACTTAGCGAGATACGGAGAGGGCTTTTCTCGGAGTTTCGTGACAAATTCCTTAAAGATGATACTCACAGCGTAACCAGAGTAACTGATATAACCGAACGAATCAGTAAGCTGCTTTCATCAGGTGACCTGTATGCTCGTTTGCCTCCTCTTCCATAAAAAAGCTGAAGTGGCAATAGCCTGGCCATATGTTCGACGAACTAACTACCGACGTGGAAGGCAATAGACTGGCCATATGTTCGACGAACTAACTACCGACGTGGAAGGCAATAGCCTGGCCATATGTTCGACGAACTTACTACCGACGTGTAAGGCAATAGCCTGGCCATATATCTCGACGAACTAACTACCGACGTGGAAGGCAATAGCCTGGCCATATGTTCGACGAACTAACTACCGACGTGGAAGGCAATAGCCTGGCCATATGTTCGACGAACTAACTACCGACGTGAAAGGCAATAGCCTGGCCATATGTTCGACGAACTAACTACCGACGTGGAAGGCAATAGCCTGGCCATATGTTCGACGAACTAACTACCGACGTGGAAGGCAATAGCCTGGCCATATGTTCGACGAACTAACTACCGACGTGGAAGGCAATAGCCTGGCCATATGCCTCGACGAACTAACTACCGACGTGGAAGGAAGGTTCTATAGTGGCGGCCTCGTACCGGTAAGCGAAGTGTACGACTGCCTCCGATAGATGGAATGACGAACTAGTAAGGATGCAGGAAGGCTGAAGACCGTGCTTAGTGGCATTACTTGGTCTATGACAGTGTACTTGTGTAAAATTATCAAGTACCGTATCGTATTGGAGATGGCCAGTAGCGTAGTCATGATAACAACTTAAAAAACTGCGGTTGCCAACCCAAGCGTGGAAACTCTGCCAAATATGCCAGGTACGAGGCAATGTGTGGAGGAGGCCCGCGTTCAGCAGTGGACTTTTGATAGACTGTAACGGTAACAGACTTAAAGCGATTCATAATGAACACAACATTGCATCTATTTACCTCCAATTCTTTCCATAACGTTTGAATGTAATTAAAGGAACGACCACTGTAAAAATTCCCATTCTCATCCAGCGATTGAAAAAAAAACACGTTATGTATTAATTTCTGCAAGTTTCAATTACGAGAAAGAAAATAATTAACCGGGATTAACGGCTCCGATTTAGAGCCATCTCAATGCGCTTTTTATAGCCCTCTAAAAACGGAACGTTGCAATTTCCAACATAATGCCGTACTTGATTGCACTTTGCATTAAACTAAGGCAAAGACTAATGTCTAATGTTTTTTTTAATAGAATGAGCGTAACAAACGAGCACACTGTCCACCTAATGGTAAGTGGGTGCTGTGGTCAGTCGAGCAGAACCACCAGTGCTTCAACCATAGTATAGCTATAGTGTGGGTTTCCCACGTATAAGAAATAATGTAAAGGGATTGCTATGGCGATGGCAAAATTAAGAATATATTGAAATTCCGCTGAACTTAATAACACTATATCATAATTATTATCATTATCATCATTAGAGTCCATCACAAGTTCACTGCTGAACATAGGCCTACCATAAGGAATACCACAAATTACGGTCCCGAGCCACGGTCATAGATTTCTTGTATCTCTCACGTCGTACCTGAATCCTGTGGGGACCGCTTACATTTCGCTTGCCCATACGCAGCTGCCAGTCGAGAACCTTTCTTTCTTGTCGGTTAATAGTTATTCGAGCCATATCGCGTCATCTATCCCTAATACCAGCCTGCATATATTATCGATAATAGGTAAGATACTTTGCAAACTAAGTTCTATTGTCGCTAGCACTTGGCTGACTTCATTGTAATTGCTAGTAGGCTAATTAAGTAATAATTATCAATATTTACCATAGTCAAATTAAGTACAAATAACCACCACAAATAATTAAACTCGGCCGTGGAAAAAAGACATTTATAGCCCTCCAACTCGCATTTGTGTGGCGGATTTTCCATGCTCCAACCTTCTTGTGAGAGGGCCTATGCCCAGTGCATTTTCTCTTAATTATGAAATTAATGAATGCTGTTCTTGTTTCCAGGTGACTTCTGCGCTGACGTCATTATGAAGTGGAACGATGTCACCGATATCAGTGAGTTCATTTTTCTTGAAACTAAAAAAACATTACCTCCACACTAGGATTTTCTCCTGTATTGTGGAGGCAGTTTACATACGAGGGTGGATTGAAAAGTACTCGGCCTAACACAGATCCATTCAATTCTAAAAATCAAATCTACCCACATTATTTAGTTCAGTTCAGACTAGTTCATTGTGTGAAGTTCGAAACGTGTGCGATAATTAGTTGTGATTTTATAAATTTATTAACAAAGTAATCGGACATAATTTCCGCGAATGGAGCAAATCGAGCAGCGTGCCGTCATTAAGTACCTCCATAAGAAGGGGCTATCATCAAAAGCCATCCATGATGACATGGTCAGTACATTAGGCGATTATGCTCTGTCATATTCATCCGTCAAAAAACGGATAGCAGAATTTAAGCGTGGTAGAGAGAGTGTGAAAGATGAACCCCGCTCTGGAAGGCCGTCGACGTCAACTACTGACGAAAATATTAAAAAAGTACTTGATTTAATAATGGGAGACCGCAGATTAAAAATTAGAAAGATAGCCGAGATTATAGGCATCTCTTATTAACGAACTCAAAACATCATTGTCAACGAGTTGGGTTTCCACAAGGTGTCTGCGAGGTGGGTTCCGCGACTGCTTTCAGTTGAACAAAAAAGGACGCGATTGACTATTTCACGCGACTGTTTGGAGTTATTTGAAGCCGATGCAGATGATTTTTTGAATCGTTTTGTTACTATGGACGAAACATGGGTTCATTACTGTACACCGGAAACAAAACAACAATCAAAACAGTGGAGAAGACCTGGTTCACCACCCCCAAAAAGGCTAAGTCGATTTTGTCGGCAAATAAGGTGATGGCTTCAGTATTCTGGGACTCGAAAGGTGTGATTATGATTGATTATCTTGAAAGGGGTCAGACTATAAACTCTGATTACTACTGCACCTTACTACGTCGTTTACGAGAGGAAATAAAAGAAAAACGTCGAGGAATGCTCAGAAGAAAAGTCCTGTTTCATCAAGATAACGCCCGTGTTCACACGTCAGTACAGTCAATGGCTGAAATTCACAACTGTGGCTTTGAACTGTTACCGCATCCGCCGTATTCACCTGATCTGGCACCATCAGACTTCTTTCTGTTCCCTAACCTAAAAAAGTACTTGGGAGGTCAAAGATTTTCGACAAACGACGAGGTCAAAGCAGCTGTAGACGCATATTTTGACTCTAAGGAAGAATCATTTTTTTTCAACGGTCTAAATGCTTGGAAGGGGAGGTGGCAAAAGTGTATTGAACTTGATGGTGATTATGTAGAAAAATAAAATATAACTGATTTAGTATGTGTTTATTTTCTTGGTTAGGCCGAGTACTTTTCAATCCACCCTCGTACGTAAATTTTACTGCAAGCCGACAAGCAGCCAGACTCGGAACAATTATTTGTAGGCCATACAATTAATTAAATGTTCCGAGCGGGATTCAAAAGTGCGGCCCTCAGCACTGTAACTTATTTGCTAAGTCATTGCCTCACGGAGACGTCACAAGGTTTTTTTATAGGAGAGGGTGCAAACGATCACACGGCGCAAGTGATGGTAAGTGGTTACCGCTGCCCATAAACAACTGCAACACCAGAGCAATTGCAGATGCGTTGCCGGTTTAAAAAAAGATTTGGCTCTTCTTTAATGTGCCTAAGTCGTATCGGTCCGGAAAAGCCTCTGGTGTTAGAGGTCCCACAAGGAAGTTGTGGGAAGAAAACTTCTTTTAAATCGCACAGTGGTAGACCGCCTGTCTTCCAGATGGTATGGATGGTATCGCGAGTTTTGTCGCGATTTGCGATGGTGAAATTGTGCGGCTGGAATTAATCCGAACAATTCCTCAGAGCACTACCCGTGGCAAATGCGATAAAATACGCTAAGAGATGCAACATCGCATCGCATCGCAGTGCCAGTGAGTCAAGCCGATCGGAAAGAGCTCTGCGCAGAATGCGATCAAATGGAAGGAGCTGGCACTAGGGAGCCCCAGCTCAGAGATGGTAACAGTATTCCATGTGCGGCCGAACCTGCACCTTGTAAAGCTGCAGACGGTGTGCTGGCATGAAATACTATCCCATTATGCTGAGCATGTCAAGCTTTTTAGAGACCAATTTGGCCTTCTCTTCCAAGTGACTATGAAACTGCACGTCACTCGATATGTCGACGCTGAGGATTGCGATACTGGCTGAGGCAACTGAGGAGATACGACGAATAGGTGCTAAAAGGGTGCTTAAAGGGTAAACGCGCAAACTTGTGGTTTTCTGGGTATTGAACTGGACTAGATTTAGTTCATTAGTCAAGTTATCTGACTGCAAACTTATAAGTCCTGGAGTTGACTATTGATTTAAAAAGCTGGTGTCGCGATTGTGTCCTGGAAATCTCTGTAAAAAAATCCTGGCAGGGTTGCCACGTAATGTAGGAAGCGTTACTCGTAAATGAGAAGACGTGTCGCTGTTACTAGAACTTTAATTATACTAATCTCTTACTCTACAATTAACATTTTTTACTATTTGAAGCCAGTGCTTGACTTCTTTCCCATCTAACGGTAAGTGGTGATGCAGCAGAAGATGACTAAGTGAACTGATTTAACAAAAACCTATTCACTCTTGCCTTGAAATCGAATGGAAAGACATGCTGGCAACTTATTCCATTCCTTTGCTGTGCATGACACACGATGTAACAAACTGCTTGGTTCGAATGCATGGTAATTCGACAACAAAAACGTAGAGCCTGGCCGAGCGCCTGGTTTTCCGATCGTGGAAGATACACATCCGTTTATAATGTTAATTGTATAATCTAATCAAAATTATAATCTTTAAACCACGTAGCACTTTCTAAAAATCTATTAAACGACTTCTAAACATTGTTACAAACAAGTTACGTTATTACTATAGTGTATGTTCAATTGAAACCGGCAAAGTTAGAAGCGCGTCATGCGCGATATTTGAAACGATATAGAGTTTTTGGAGGAAAATTTTGGCAGGGAGCCGGCTGGCCTCGGCTTACTATAATGCGAGTAGTACGAGTACGTCAGCTTAGCGTCGCTGTGTTGTAAGGCACGGCACGTACGCACTCCGCTGGATACGAGCGTGGGACGTGGGTGGGTGTCTCCACAAAGCTATTCACTGACTTCTGATGTAAATATTTGTTTTGACTATCGCTTTCAAAATATTACACATGTTAAAAATTAACTAGCTATAATACCCAATTACTCAAACGTTACTCAAGTTTAGGATGCCGTTAAGTCTGGTGCTGTCTCTACCACTTTAAGTCAGCGAGACTAAACGACACCTTTAAATAGAGTTGCGTTTGAGTGTTTGGCCATAGGATCCGCGTAAGGAGATAGAAAGATATGTCTCACCTATTTTGAAGAGCACCTTCCGCCCTCCCTCAATTGCGTGCACATCCGCGTCACCATTACTAAGAAAGACACACTATGTATTTCGCTCCTAAATGAGCCATCCTCAGGTGAATTAGATTCTGTGGTTGTGACCGCTAAGACAGTTTCCTAGTGTAGTGGTATGGAGAGTAGTGGTGCTGGGGTTAGTGGTGACGGGGGTAGTGCACACAATGAGGGCTAATAATCTTTCGTTCACCAGATGTCGCTTGAAGAGATTGAGGTGAATATTTTTGTTACACAATTTCATATAATTGAGATTTTGCGCTTTAAATAAAATTTTACACAACTCAGTGGTTTGTTGATTTTCCACATGTTTTAACTCTATTTTTAATTTTTCTACTTTTAGAAATATCTGTAGTTTGATTTATCCATTGCTTTACAAAAATTAATTTCAAAAAGAAACATTAACTATTACATTTTCCTAATAAATTAACTTCCCTCCCCTCCCCCATGTAATTTGTAAAATATATTCACTTCGTTTCTCAGTGACGCCGCCCTGGTGGCAAAAAAGTCGTGGTCTCATTGAGCAAGGGCTCTTTTTAGGCAATTGCTCTCCAAACTAGGTATTAAAAACGGATTTAATCTAATTATTTTTTTAAACATCTTTAATATAATAGATTTCCGCAAAGTAACGACAGATTCTATTAATTAACTTAAAAATGATCTGCTGAGACCGTCATGTTGAAATGTGCTCGGATTAAATTGCCCTTTGGCTCGGATGAGACGAGATTATTTGGCGTAGATCTCAGGAAGAGTACGTGTATTTTTACGCGGCACCCAACTCGGTGCCATTCATACGGAAATAATGGCGGCGGGGGCGAAGTCCCGCGTCGCTTGGATGCTCCTCTGATAGATTGCATCTAAACGTGGCGAGACACGCTGTTCGATGTTCGCTTGATTTATCTATTTATAATGTGTTGAGTAAAGTTTTATTTTTATGAACATTTTGCCTCACCATTACAGCCTATCAAAAGTCCTGAACCTGTGCCCCCCCCCCCCTCCCTCCAATAGATTACTTTATAAGAGAGATTTTGCTAAAGTTGTATGGTTGGGAAACGTATTTTGACTTCTGGTTGGTGCTGTGCATGTTCTGTTTCATTACGAGTAGTCGATGTTCCTACACCGTCACTACACGGTAACACACGCTGGTACATAGACGTGTAATATAATGTTTAAAAATGTTTGTTTCGTAAAGTGAACTGAATATTATCGATGAATATCAAAATACTTATAACATTGCGTCTATTTAAACAACACATCATTCTTTTATTACACGGACTTGATTCAAAACAAAATATTCCACTAAAATTTTGAAGTAATTAATTCATTTAATTAGTTTTAAAATCTCTTAGCTGTTTAATTTACGATTTGTTATTTGTTTATTCTAAAATATAATTTTACAATGTAGTAAAGGTGTAGTAATATCCACCGCCATTTGTCTTACCCGGTATTGTAGCATATGACAGAAGGAAACAAACTAGAAAATGGGCAGCAGGGTCTTACTATTAACAATTAAAAAATGAAAACTTCGGTTGCCAACCGGCTCGCCAAGCATGGCAACTATGGCAATATACCACCCATGAG